CAAGGCCGTGGAAGGGCGGCGACGGGGCCGTGGAAGGGCGGCGACAGGGCCGCTGAAAAGGGCGGCGACGGGGCCACTGAAAGGGCGGCGACGGGGCCGCAGTAAGGGGCGGCGACTGGACCGCTTAAAGGGCGGCGCGACGGGGCCGCAAGGGCGGCGCGACGGGGCCGTTAGGGGCCGTAAAAGGGGCGGCTAGAGGCCGCTTGAGGAGGAACGACACGGGGCGCGACTCGGGCAGGGGCCAAGCGTGCTCCGGGCAGGAAAAAAAAGTTGGTGGGCCCTAGGAACAGTTCCCACGAGGGAAGCAGCTCTATACCATGTGAAGATTAGAACAAGAGAATGATTGAACTATGAAAGAGTTGGGTACAAGTACTAACCCTAATTGGGTTTTACCCCTAATGGGCTACCCCACTACGGCCTACACAAATGTATAAGCTATAATGTTCTGACAAGCGCTGGAGATTGCTAGTGCATGAAGGGACTCGGTCGACGATGGGAATGCTAGCGCAGGCTCTGTTCGACGACGTTGACGGGCATTGCTGGTGTACAATAGTGGTCGACGAGACCCCTCGATGTGCACTGCTCGACGTGCTCTGCTCGACGAGCTAGTTTCGGCGAACGTTGTTCGACCAAGTAGCGTCGAGCTAGTCGATGAAAGTAGCTCGACTGCAATACCCGGCTTGAGAGCGAATGTCGCTCAAGAGGTCTTAGAAAAGCCGATCTGCGTAACATCGTCACATACTCTATGGCACACGGGTGGCGAGATCGTCGACACATGTTCTACCTGGCACCTGCGCAATGTGCCTGGCGGTGCGACCGTAGACCTGCACCTCCTTTGTATACTACCGTATCATATTGTTATCTATTGTTTGTTCTAATCCAGGCCTGCGTATTCAATGATTTTCAGTAAAAGTACCAAGCTGACAAATGTGTAGACGAGGGGATGGTTCAACATCAATGGAGATATTAACAAATTCTTTTAAGCATTAAAAATATTACAATTGATGATAGAGCTATTAATAAGAATTGTAGAGATTTCCCTTGTTTTTCAGGGCCTCCTATTCCTTATCAAGTTTGCCCATTGCAGTTTATGTTTTTATTTTGTTCACATATACGCTTTTATTTCTGTTGCAGCTGTGCTCTGTATTAAACTGCTCTGTGGCGCGTCATGCCACGCTTTCTCTGCAACACTTTCCGTTGAGTTTAGACGGAATCCGTCGAGGAAGGCGGATTTCCTCGACGGGCGTGGGGGAGCAGCTGGCGTCATCGCCAGCTCGTGCGGGGACCACTCCGAGCTGGCGGGGCTCGTTTCGGGCGGGCCGGGTGGCTTGCTCCCGCCCCTTGCGTGCCCCGCTACGCGACTACGGGAAAACAGAAATCCCTTCGAGGAAAACCCGCAGGGGCGAACGGGGTTTCGCGGAGGGATTCTGGCGAGGTCTTCCCTGGCAAATCCGCTCGACCTGCGCCTAAGACAATATAACTCCCCCCACGCACCTCCACCCTCACTCACGGATAGGTGACTGCAAGCGGGACCGGTGCGGTCTCGAATATTCGACTCCACCCTCCCGTTCCGCCTGCCCTATTGCGTTAGTGTGGGGCAGCCATCGCGCGCGACAACGCTTTTGTGATTGCGTATCGTTTCAGGTACCCAATGCGCTTCACCTGTGTCACACGGTATTATCCGCACTCCAGCGTCAGCATCGCCTATTTGTACTGTACCAGCGCCGCCCACCTCCGCCCCTACTGTGGCGGGAAGCTTTCCTCCCATCATTGACGCGACTCTCCCCACTTACCCTTTCGCTCGATTACACAAGATGCCCAACCCCTGCGCGCGAATTTGCCCTGCCCACGATGGAAACTCTGCACCCGTGTATTAGGGTGCCAGCCAGTTGCACCCCATTTACAAGCACCTCCAGCAATACGAACCACAAAAAACGAAGTTTGACAGAAGAGACCAACGTCAAACGGTGAACAGAGAGTTACAAAATCTTTTAAAGTCCCTTTTTACTAAGTGCGAATTGACGAAAACTTAGCGAAATGCAAGAATCACTTAAGAGCCCTCTTCACAAGGCAACCTTGGGCTAGTCAAACGGGCATCTTGTGTACGTGACTCAGCAGACTCTTCCGTGGACTGATTCTTGCGCCCTAGAGTCGTAGTAAGTGCTGTGCAGGGGTATCGCCAAATACTTTATCGAGTGCTTCTTTTCCGACGGCCACTCGTCATTTCGTTTCCGTCAGCTGCTTAAACTTCGCATTCATAGCCATTACTGCTACTGTTGTTTCTCTTAGGCTCCCACACCTATAAGTACCAGTATAGTAGCTGATTTCGCCATCGGCAATGGCGTCAAAGATAACGGATGACGACTTCCAGAGCCGTGTTCTGGACAACAAGCTCCCGTCTCTCGTTTATTTCTACGCGAATTGGTCCGGTCCTTGCAAGATGATGGATCCCTTGATTGATGAGGTTGCCGAGGATTTTTCAGGAACGGCTTCCTGTTACAAGATGGACACTGACGAAAGTCCCAACACGTCGGCCGAATATGGCGTCCGAACCGTTCCCACCGTGAAAATCTTCAGGGCTGGTCGTGAGCAAGAGACGCTCGTTGGCTGTGTGCCTCATTCGGAGCTGCCCACAACCCTCGATAATTTTATATGAGCTTCTTCGTCCTCTGCTGCCTTCACTCGAGATGACGATACTTACCTACATATCAAGCTGTCCGGCGTTTAGGGTTTGTCATCTCCGTGTTCTGTGCTGATATTGTCCAAACTGAAAATGTAACAGATGAAGTTTGTGTATAAGGTCACAGTACATTTGGCCTCACTTCCCACTCAAATCAGCACGGTCAAAGGGCCACCTGTTTCAAGGTGGACACTGACGAAAGTTCCTGGACATCGTCCGAATATGGCGTCCGAAGCGTTCCTACCGTGAAAACCTTCAGGGCTGGGCGTGAGCAGGAGACGCTCGTTGGCACTGTGAATGATTTGGCCCTGGAGAGAGCCCTCAAGAAAGTTGCATGAGGAGCTTCATGCTCTGCTGTCGTCACTTCGTAATACTTTACTTGCATTTTGACTGTCTGCATAAAATGCTGCTGGCGTTTAGGGTTTGTGATCTCTGTATGCCCTGCTGGTCTTGTCCAAACTGAAGAGTAGCAGGTGAACTTTTGTGTGTAAGGACGCCCTAGACTTGGGTTTAAAATAGCATGATGAGACTCATAAACAATCTGACTTCTATAAATATTTTTTCCAATCAGGTACACGTTGTGCAAGGTGATATTGTTGAACATAATTTAGCCGTTTGTCCCGTTCCACCCACTCTTTATCAGAACATGATGATGGCTGAACAATCGGGCATTTTAAGTTTGATTTGACAATGACATGGAGAAACAAACGAAAGCGATGCAAAGCAATTACTGTGGGAGTTACGCATTACATTTCGAGGCACCTCGAACGCACAAGTTGTTACATTCCTCCATTACGGTAGACCCTGAAGATGCATTATAGGCGGAGAATAGTCCGTATGGTGTCAGATAGGTTGTGTATGATGGCCTTCTCTTGTGTTACTTGCCATCCTTGTAGAGGCATCTCGTCCAAACACCTTATATGGGGGACAGACAGAGGGGCCAAAGAGAGGGCCGGAATGGGAGGTTACAGTTGACAACGGGCAAACACAGATACGGTAGCTAGCGGAGTGGGTAACTAGCAGCAGTCTCATTGTGTTGTCTAAATGATAAGTGTCTGAATGTGTTGCGAGCAGAGAACAAGAAAAAATTCAAGGAGGCACCAAAAGATTCGAAGACAAACAAGCCACGACATACTGTATGATGATACATGATCAATGATACAAGAATTTATACTCGTTATGAGGAGCATCACGTACTGTTTATGGTACGCCAGCGCTCGGGCGAGATTGGGGAGGGTGGTGCTGTTGGCTAGTCTGCGGTACACACTGGGGGGTAGTGGCACCTGTGGTGGGGATGGGGTGTAGAGTAAATGGTAGGAGAATCAAAGAGACGATTCAGAAAGAAAGGGCTGTTGGCTTGTCCGGCAGGAGAACAATCCAGGGATGGAGATGACTTTAGAGTCAGACTCAAATGTCATGCATTAAAGCTCGCAGCCCAAATTGTACAACTTTACTAAAGTTGCATGTTGGGAGGTGAGGGAGCAGGGTTGGAAAGTTGAGGTGTTGGGTGGGTTGAGGGCTTTGGTTTCGCCAACCTCTTGCCAATCTCAAAACACATTTCGCTGACTCAGCAGACCCCAGGGGCCACTTCGCGTTTGGTTGCATGAGTCCCATATTGCACAAATACTATCCTTGCCAGTTTCCCACCCAACCCCCTCCGCAAACACTGTTTCAATTTTGCTAGCCAATCAGCTCAGTGGTCAAATTGACTAGCCAATCAGCTTCCTTCGTACAGCCCGTAACCTCAATTCGCAAAACCAGCACCTGCAAAAACAACTTTCGATCAACCTTACTAAGGTTGCACAGCGCGGCCCGCAATTTGGGCCGCGAGCTTTAACGGCATGTAGTGGGAATGGTAGGGGATCGAAAGAAGAGGCTGAACAGAAGGACGCTGTTGGGTGGTCCGACTGGCCGCCCTTTACTTATCCTCGCCTCCTCCCTCACCTCAGCCGCGGGCGTTCGTCTGGCGCCTTTGCTCCCTGCCAGCCCACCACTCCCTGACAGCTCCTGAATCGCCTCCAGCCCACACTGGTCAAAGAGGGCCAGGTTGCCCTCGGGGCCTTGTAACCCCTCCCCTTGTAGCATCAGTAATTACTAAGGAGCACAGCACAGTATGGAAGGCTGCTACTGTGCCTCGCCTCAGCAGCAGGTGTTCGTCTGGCGGCCTTGCTGCCTGCCAGCTCCTGAATCGCCTCCAGCCCACACTGGTCAAAGGGAGCACCGTCGGGGCTCGAACCCCACCATGGCAAGTACTAGCAACAGCAGAACTCAGTACAAGGAACCAGCGGACCTGCATTCCTCACCTCAGTATGGAAGGCTGCTACCTCACAGTGTTCCGCCTCACCTCAGCAGCAGGTGTTCGTCTGGCGCCCTTGCTGCCTGCCAGCCCACCACTCCCTGACAGCTCTTGAATCGCCTCCAGCCCACACTGATCAAAGGGAGCCCCGTCGGGGCCGGATGAGGCGATGAGGGAGGAGGGGTAGATGTCGCATGCTCGGAGGAAGGGGATGGGGACCGTGTTGCCCGCTGCATACACCGCTGATAGCTGGGAGAGTGATAGGAAGGGGAAACGAGGAAAAGAAGTGGGGGGGTGGGGGGGGGGGGGGGGGTAGGGGGAAGATGAGGGTCAGAAATACAAGGCCACACGCTTTTGAAACGCCTAGAAAAACCACCAACCAGATGCCGTTACCTTGGGCTTAGACTCTCTCTCTCACCTTATCTTGCAGCCCAGGGCTGGCTCTCTAAGCAGGCCGGGTGCTATCAGCAATGGCCTGCCTCGTCCCATCCTCCATCGCCTGCCGTGCCCCTGCAAAGAAATCCGTGCCCTTCCTTCCTCCCCCTCCTCCTTCTCATCTCCAGCTCCTCCTCTAGTACACACACTGAGTCAGCACACGCACGCGTGCCTCACTCAGCTGCACTCTTTCTTGAACAGGCGTACTCTCACCCTCTCTCACCCTCTCTCACCCTCTCTCACCCTCTCTCACCCTCTCTCACCCTCTCTCACCCTTGCTCACCCTCTCTCACCTTATCCTGCAGCCCAGGACTGGCTCTTTGAGCGGGGCGGGTGCTATCAGCAATGGCCTGCCTCGTCCCATCCTCCATCGCCTGTCTCGCCCCCGCAAAGAAATCCGTGCCCTTCCTCCTCTTCGCCTCCAGTTCCATGCCCGCTGCTGCTGCTTGCTTCGGGGGCACTGGAGGTCTCTCTGCCCTGCGGGACGGAGCAGACCTGGAAGGGGAATGCAGGGAGGGGAGGGGAGGGGAGGGAAAAGGTTGCCTGATACAGTCTCCCCCTCAAAGCAAAGAAATCCGTGCCCTTCCTCGTCAGGGCTTCTTGCTCCATGCCCGCTGCTGCTGCTTGCTCCGGGGGCACTGGTGGGCACTCTGCCCTTGGAGAAGGGGCGGACCTGGAAGGAGAGGGGAGATGGTGAAGCAGAGGGAGATGGTGAACCAGAGGGAGATGGTGAACCAGAGGGAGATGGTGAAACCAGAGGGAGATGGTGAACCAGAGGGATGTGCTGACTTTGCTTTGCGTTGCCCACCCACCCATAGCTCCATTCTTTTTGGAATTCTCGAAGCGTGCACTCACTTGGCCTGGGCTGGCTTGGCCTTGCGCTGCCCCCCCAGCGCTGCCAGCGCTGCGCCAATCCAATGTTACCCGAAGACGACTCCACGCCCTGTATACTGCACACGCCCTGTATACTGCACACGCCCAATCACCACTACCACAATCCGAGCCACCCACACACACTCACTTGGCCTGGGCCGGCTTGGCCTTGCGCTGCCCGCCCCCAACGCCGCCAGCGCAGCGCCGTATGTTATCCGAAGACGACTCCACGCCCTCCGCTGATGACGTGGCGGCTGCTGACTTGGCGGACGGCTCGTCTGACCTGGCGACACGCATCGTGCCCGTGTCCATCGCCTCATCCTCGGACTCATAATCCTTGTTCACAAACGTGCCGAAATCTGGGAAGTGGGCGGGAGGGGGGGAGGGGGGAAGAGGGGACGGGTGAGGGCACATGATGGAATGGAAGTGCCTCTTGCCGTGTCCATCACCTCATCCTCGGATTCATAGTCCTTGTTCACAAACGTGCCGAAATCTGTGTAAAGAGCAAGAAGGGGGAAGCGGAGTGGGGAGAAGGGGAAAAGGGGAAGAGGGGGAAGGTGGGGGGCAGGTGGACGCGCATCGTCTGCCTCATCCTCGGACTCATAGTCCTTGTTCACAAAACGTGCCAAAGTCTGTATCAGAATGCAGGTGCGGGGGGGGGGGGGGACAGGTGAAAGCACATAATGGAAGTGCCTCGTACCACGGCCCATCACCTCATCCTCGGACTCATAGTCCTTGTTCACAAACGTGCCAAAGACTGTGTTGGGGTGAAAAGGGAGCAGCAAGAAGGGGAAAAGGGGCGGAGGCGCATCGTGCCCATGTCCATTGCCTCATCCTCCTTGTTCACAAACGTGCCAAAGTCAGGGATGTATTGTGTGGGTATGCACGGATATGAGGAGGAAGGGAGGGAGAGAGGGCCGGGGAAGGAAGCCACAGGGTCAGCAAATCTTTTTATCCTTGTTCACAAACGTGCCGAAATCTGTGTTTGGGTGAGTGGGGTTGGGGCAGGATACTAGGGGTAGCGAGCGGATAAAGAGTCATTGTTCAAAAACTTGTTTTCTGAGGACGGCTCAAAAGATTCTGAGTACCTGACGCATAAGTCTGACTCATATAAATTGAAATGAGTGGTATTGGGGGGGTTAGGAAGGGGGAGGCAAGAGGGAAGGAGTTGACCTACCAACCCACCTAGGGATGAGCAAGGTGGCGAACACCTGTTCGGTTCGCCCTCGAACGTGTTCGAGGCGAACCGAACAGGTTTTGTTTTTTAGCTCAAATCGTTCGCCGAACAGTGTTCGATGTTCGCCCGAACACGTTCGTGTTCGGGCCGCTGCTGAAATTTGCCCGCGACGAACACGAACGTGTTCGAGGTTCGCCCGAACACGCCTCCACAGGCGAACAGCGAACACCTGTTTTTTTCCTAAACTGTTCGCCGAACCGAACACTGTTCGGTTCGGCAAAAGAGGGTGTTCGACAAGGGGCGAAGACGAACATGTTCGTGTTCGCCCTTTGCTGCATCCCTAAACCCACCTAACCTGTTTTGAGAATTCTCAAGAGTGATTTCAACTTAGGGAAGAGAGGAAGCTAAGTGACCATATACGCGTTTAGCGTATATACGCGTGTCGTATATACGCTATACGCATAGGTCCCGAATCCAGGAGTACGCTTTTTCGGGCAGGGTAAAAATAACCCGGGCAGGGTGAAAAAAACACCCTAGGTATAGTTCACGGGGGGGATTCACGGAGGTTGTGTCTCAGTTCATTTTTTCCCCTATGACGCGAAATGCTTAAAGACTTCGTGCTCAACATCGGGAAGGTACTCCCTAATCTCACGAAGAGGACGTGGCCTATTGTTATCCTGTGTGAGATCAGATGGCGGCTTGGAACTGCAGTAGAAATTATCGCGTAGGATACTAGGAGTGAGCGACTAGGTGGAATGGACAGATGGGGGAGGGACGGACGGGGGAGGGAACGTGAAGTAGATCTGACGAGCAACGATGTGTTTGGAGGGGACGTACTGGAAAGGTTGGAGTTCGTAGATTGGGTTCGGTTCAAAGAGGTGGAACCCTGAAATTCGAAATTGCAACTCCGAAAGCCTCATCGGAATTCGGTCGTCGGAACGGTTTTGCCAGTGTCGTCGAAGGGGTTCGTCGGAGCCGAGAATGACGAGGCGTGCGACTGACGCGCGTGCGGGCCCGCCAGCCTGGCCCAGGACTGGGCCGAGCGCACGACCGCCGCTCCGCAGCCCCGCTCCGAAAGTGAACAGCGGCCCACGTTACCGGGTGGGGTCGGCGAACTGGCGACAACTCGCGCGTGGGAAAATTACCCTCGCGCGAAGGCAGCCCACACGTGCCACCTGCCCGTGAGGTCCTAGTAACCCATCGCGGCCTGACCGGACGGGCAGGCGAGGGCCAGGCGAAAAATCGGGGCCCCCTCGGGACACTCGACAATTTCGCGACCCGTTGCGGTCGCGCCACGTGTTCGCCCGTGGCTTCGCAGCGCGCGCATGCGAAATTTCGGACGATGCGAAATTAAAACATCTCGCATCTACCACCGCGATCCGCTACGAAAATCGACACGTGTCGGCCCTAGAGACGCTCCGCGCGCAGGCGAGTTGTGCGTCCCCTCGCCGACCTGGGCCAATGGACGCGAGGTCGTCGCTCTGCCAGGGCGGAGACGGACCACCTGTGCCACTAGCGCATGCGCCCTCCGAGCCCTACCGAGCCAGGCCCCACACCCTTGGGCGATGCTGAACGGCCCCACCCCCTTTTCATTGCGGAAGGTGGCTTCGCTCCTCATTTTCTCCTTTTCTCATTTTCCCAGACAGCTCTGCGCCTCCCCCTAGATCCGTGCTATCGTACCTTAGTCGATATGGAGCCGATCCCCGACGCCGAGAAGTCGGCGCCGACTGGGCTGACTTTCCCCTTAGACACCGAATGGGTCGCGGTCTCAGCTTCACCTTCGAGTGGGACGACTTCGCCGCCCTTCGCGACCAGAAGAAAGAGTTCACCGACAGATGCTTGGGATTCGCCATCAGGTGGGACTCGAGTAGTCGCGGTTGGAGAATAGGGCGGATATCGGCGCCGACTTCCTCTAAATGGGCGCATAAAGTATATGTCGGCGCCGTCGGGGGCGGATTGTCGCAGATTGTCGCGACCCCGTCCATGGACGTCGGTCGGCATAGCAAGCGTCGATCTGGTAGCGTTTGCTTACCCGCCATCCCATCATCCCTCATGCCCACTCGTGCGCCCAGGTACGCTTGGTTTCGCAATGAACTGAACGACCAGAAGTTGTGGGTAATCGGAGTCGGCCTGCTTCGATCGGCCTTGAAGGCCGCAGACCATTCTTGCTTTGCTACGGTTTTCGACGCCGACATCGCCGCCATCCGTTAAGCACGACGTGAGCTGTTTCCCCGTTGTCCAGTTATCGTTTTGTTTAGTCGGTCGCATCATCGCCTAATGTTGTGGTCGACGCCGTCGTGTATTGCATGTGCAGCGGCGGTCCGCTTCCAGGGTCACACTGCAGCGTCATAGCCATCCTCTACCCAGGAGATCTGCTGAAGGCTGAGGGACAGGTCTGCAGGACCTCGATCCGGCACATCGACCCGCATACCGGGAAACTGAAGCACCGCGACGAGGCCGTCCGCGTGCTGAAGTAAGTTGTGAATAGTCGTCGATTTCCCGCTTGTTAGTCGCCGACCCAGGGTATCACATGCTGACCGCCTTCCTTTACCACGATGCTCCAGCTATTCCGCACGGCAGTCTTGCCGAGCTGGGGCGTCCCGGTAGGCAGTGGGACGGGGCACCGCCATCACAAGCAGTGGTGGAGGACAGGCTTGCCGACTGCGACCACCCTATCCGCGACGTGAGTTGCACGTTGCACGTTTATCCATTAAGGAGGGTGCACGTTTCTGTATGCTCCGCTCACAATGTTCTGCGCTTGCCGGTGTTGTATGCAGAAAGTGCCAGACACACAGTGTGTCGGACGAGAAGGTCGGCACCGGCATGCTTGCTGCGACGTCGTTCGGGTGGGTGGCCAAGCAGGTTGACCTGCTGACGGGCGAGAAGGGTCGTGGTGCGGTGAGACTCGAGAACATCAAGACAAAGGGGCTAAAGTTTTTTGCGAGGACAGCATGGTGGAGTACATCTGCAAGCGCATCGCCGAAAAACGCTCTGCGGCGCCGACATCACAACCCGCTGACTGTGTGATTGATGACGATGGCGCGGAAAGACAGACGGCGCCCCAAGCAGCAGTTTCCGCCCAGCATCGGGGGACGCGAAGGTGTCCGCGGAAGGAGGAAACGGTGGTGGAGGAGGCAACGCTGCGACAGGTGGAGGAAGGAAGGAAGAGGAGGATTCGGAGGAGGATTCGGAGTCGGAGTCGGAGTCGGAGTCTGAGGAGGAGGCGGAGAAGCGGAAGGACGAGGACGAGGAGGAGGAGGGAGGAGGAGGAGGAGAAGGACGAGAGGGAATGACGGCCATGAGGAGGAGCAAGGGAAGGATGAGGGAAGGGAAGGATGGGGAGGGGAAAGGAAGGATGAGGGAAGGGGGACGGGGGGAGGGGTGGGCGAAGGAAGGATAGGAGGGGGGAGGGAGGGAAGGATGGGAAGGGGGACGGGAAGGAGGAGGAGGTGGAGGAGTGGGGGTGCAGTGATGGTAGCCGTAGGGGAGTGTTCGAAGAGGAGGAAGCTGCAGTAGAGGCGGTGGGGTCGTGGATGAATGATAGAAACGAGGAAGCGGAGGAGAGGGTGCGGGTAAAAAACGAGTCGGCAGATGGGGGGAAGGAGAAGGATGAGGTGGGTCGGGAGGCAATGACGGAAAAGGGCCAGGAGGAGGCGGCATGCGAAGGTGGGAAGGTGGGTCGACGCCGGCGAAGCGGCGAACACCACGGGCGTGCAGGAGAACGGGGGACGCTTGATCGGCCGGTAATGAGCTGGACGACGTCGAGCAGGTGCGAAGGGAGAAATGGCTGTTGAGGCGGAGAACGCTCGGCTGGCGACGTTGCTCGATGCGGAGCAGGCTCGGCTGGACAGGTTTTTGTTGGGATACGTGGACTCGTCGACCACGTGAAGGAGTTGGCCGAGCAGGTCGACGACACCGAGAAGTATGCGGCGGAACAGCTGCGAAACGCGACGGCGGCCATGTCGAAGACAATCACGGGCAACATCACCGGCAGCTTCGACGAAGCGTGGAAGACGATGAAGACCTTCGCGGAACAGGCGACGGCGTGGTTGGAGGACTTCGACAACCCGCAGGGTCGTGCAACTGCCACACGACCCTGAGATATACTTCCAATTTTGTCCGCTGAGATTTACTTCCTGAGATTTACATCCTGGACGGTCCGATTTTTGCCGCGTGGATCGAGCTGGCCCATTTTTCAAAGGTGTGAATGTTTTCCCGCTTTGGGAAAATCACCGCTGGGGCGACGCGTGGCCACGACGGCCACGTCGTGGCAGCCTAGTACACGGTGGGGACGGTCCGGCTCCCCCCTATTGGTCCGCGTGGCGGCAGTCGCGGCTCAACGTGGCGAGCTTTCCTATTTTGTCCGCTGAGATTTACTTCTCAGGAATCTCCCAGCGCAAACGTATGTCGTCGGATTGTCGACATTCCCGAGGGCTCCCCGAGGCCCCTGGGACGCCATTTGGGCCCAGCTTGGAGCTCGGAGGTCGTCGCGAGCTCGTCAATCCCGAGGGGGGCCCTTGTCCCTTTCTGGACCGCGAAATTGGGCGGCGTTTTTTCGTCGGCTGAGGTATATCATCCCAACCTGAATCGAAACATTGAAGTGACATTCCTGCTACCCTAGATCTCCGATGAGCAGCATTTCGACCACCGCGAAATGATCGCCGTGAAAGACGGCAGATTTCTATATATTCCAGAAAATTTTCACCTTGGGCTGCCCAGAGAAAAACTCCCGAGCGTATAGCGTATTTGCTAGAGTATAGCGTTTTGCATGTATACGCAAGCGGATAAACGCTATACGCTTAAGGCAAAAGCGTTTTCGGTCACTTGGAGAGGAAGGAGTTGACGGAGGGACCTTTTGGATACACTCCCCAACATAGCATAGCACCCACCAGGTTCATCATCATCAGCATAGGTTGATGGTGTAGAGCGAGCCTTCACTGTCCCACCTACCCCAGTCACCACCTACGCCAGTCACCACACCACCTACGCCAGTCCCACACCACCTACGCCAGTCACCACAGCCAGTCACCACACCACCTACGCCAGTCACCACACCACACTATGCCAGTCACCACACCACCTACGCCAGTCACCACACCACCTACGCCAGTCACACACCACCTATGCCAGTCACCACACCACCTACGCCAGTCACCACACCACCTATGCCAGTCACCACACCACCTATGCCAGTCACCACACCACCTATGCCAGTCACCACACCATCTACGCCAGTCACCACACCACCTACGCCAGTCACCACACCCCTACGCCACCTACGCCGTCACCACACCACCTACGCCAGTCACCACACCACCTATGCCAGTCACCACACCACCTACGCCAGTCACCACACCACCTACGCCAGTCACCACACCACCTTTGCCAGTCACCACACCACCTATGCCAGTCACCACACCACCTATGCCAGTCACCACACCACCTATGCCAGTCACCACACCACCTATGCCAGTCACCACACCACCTATGCCAGTCACCACACCACCTATGCCAGTCACCACACCACCTATGCCACTCACCACACCACCTATGCCAGTCACCACACCACCTATGCCAGTCACCCACACCCCTATGCCAGTCACCACACACCTATGCCAGTCACCACACCACCTACGCCAGTCACCACACCCCCTACGCCAGTCACCACACCACCTACGCCAGTCACCACACCACGCCAGTCACCACACCACCTACGCCAGTCACCACACCACCTATGCCAGTCACCACCACCTACGCCACGCCACACCACCACCTATGCCAGTCACCACACCACCTACGCCAGTCACCACACCACCTACGCCAGTCACACACCACCTACGCCAGTCACCACACCACCTATGCAGTCACCACACCACCTATGCCAGTCACCACACCACCTATGCCAGTCACCACACCACCTATGCCAGTCACCACACCACCTATGCCAGTCACCACACAACCTATGCCAGTCACCACACCACCTATGCCAGTCCCACACCACCTATGCCAGTCACCACACCACCTATGCCAGTCACCACACACCACCTATGCCAGTCACCACACCACCTACCACAATTGGCACCCACCAGGTTCATCATCATCAGCATAGGCGGATGGTGCAGAGCGTGCCTTCACTGTCCCCCCCATGGCGTCTCCCCTCTGCCTCACCGTGCCTGTGCCCATGGACTGGGGGACCGAAATGGCCATGGGGGAGGGAAAAGGGGAAGGACGCAGGGAAGGGGAAAAGACACAGCTAAGTGCTGCTGCCTTCACTGTCCCCCCCATGCTGCCTCCCCTCTGCCTCACTGTGCCCGTGCCCATGGGCTGCACTGCACCCACACGGAAGGTGGGAGAGGGTTGAAAGGGATAAAGAGCGATACAGAGAGGAGTAGAAAGAGATGTAGGTTCAGAAAATGCATCCACTAGTGGGTGGAATGGAAGGCTCCCTTCCCCCCACAGCATCTCCTGTTGGCTTTGCTGTGCCTGTGCCTGGGCCTGTGCCTGTGCCTGGGCCTGTGCCTGTGCCTGTGCCTGTGCCTGGGCCTGTGCCTGTGCCTGTGCCTGTGCCTGTGCCTGGTGCCTGTGCCTGTGCCTGTGCCTGGGCCTGTGCCTGGGCTGTGCTGTGCCTGTGCCTGTGCCTGTGCCTGTGCCTGTGCCTGGGCCTGTGCCTGTGCCTGTGCCTGTGCCTGTGCCTGTGCCTGTGCCTGTGCCTGTGCCTGTGCCTGGGCCTGGCCTGTGCCTCTCCTCTGCCTCTGCCTCTGCCTCTGCCTCTGCCTCTGCCTCTGCCTCTGCTCTGCTCTGCCTCTGCCTGTGCCTGGGCCTGTGTCGGAAACTCATAATCTGTGGCATCCCATGGCTTGCCTCCTCCTTCCTGCTCTCACCCTCCCCCCCTTCTTCTTCCAAGCTCTGTTCCTGTGATACCTACCGCTCTGCCTCAGCCACTACCTGCCCCTCCAGAGCTCGTGCTCGGGTCTCCCGTGCACGTGTCACTGGACACTCTTGCTGAGGCCGGGTGCTTCTCACCACTGCAGCATTCGTCAGGCGGTTCCCCGTCTGCTCTCTTCTCTGATTCCTCTGCACCAGCACTCTTGGACCCCCCATGTCCTGCGTCTCTCTTCTCTGTGTATCCAGTGCCACTTCCAGCATATCCCTCTCTGCAGGTATGCTCCCTGTCCCATGCCACCCAGTTCTCAGCCACTCTCATTCCCGCTGGTTCTGTCAGCACCTGTGTTGCTGGCTCCATCGACTCATCTTCCCATGTCTCTCCCTTAATCCCCTTTACTGTCTTCACGGCCTTTTGTTCTTTCTTACTCATTGCATCTCCCACTGTATGCTCCAGTCCTTCTCCTATTGTCAGGCACTCCCACGCCCCCTCTTCCTTGCTCTCCCTCGCTGCTTCTTCCTGCTTCTTGGCCGGGTCCCTCACCGGACCTTCCCATCGAGCGACCCATAGGTCACCTTGCCCCTGGTTACACGCCGCATCTGCTGGTATGCTCCTCACATCCGCCTCGGGTCCTCTCACGGCTTCTTTTCCCATTTCTTCCCCCTTCAGCTCTGGATGTCCTGCCCACAGCTTCCTCACTTGCTGCTCCACCATCCCACTTTCCTGCGCTTGCTTGTCTGCCTTTAGTACACGTGCCCGTGCCCCCACCTTCTCGTCTTTTCCTCCTGCTTCTGCGGCTGCTGGTGCGCACGCCCATGCCCCCTTTTTCTTGGCTTTCCCTTCTGCTACCGCTGCTGCCACTACGCGCCTTTTGCCCCCACCTTCTCTTCTTTCCCTTCCTCTTCTGCTGCTGCTGCTACACACGCCTGTGCCCCCACCTTCTCTTCTTTCCCTTCCTCTTCCGCTGCTGCTGCTACACACGCCTGTGCCCCCACTTCTCTTCTTTCCCTTCCTCTTCCGCTGCTGCCACCACACATGCCCGT